GGTAGCTGTCTCCATCGCCAGCCCTCCCTGGACCCCGACCTGGTCACCTAAGACCGGCTGCTGCTGCGGTAGGTGAGAGGGGACCAATGGGAGCGTGTGCAGCCTTTGCACCCAGGTCAGGTGGTGCCAGACCTGGGAGAAGGCCAGCCTGGATCACCGTCTGACCCCGTGACCCCGGAGTGTGTGTCCTTGCCCCTCCACCACCAAAGCTCATGCCAGGCATTGTGGGGCAGGATAGGGCATCCCAGGCTGTCCATTTGGGGGGGGGGTCTCCCCTTTCCAAAGGAAGGAAATAAAACTTCTTATTTGGCCACCGACTGCTCTGCCTCGCCCAAATCCCAGGCCTGTGGGTCTGCTCCTCCTATTTGTCATCATTTGGATGAGGTCAGACCCAAAATCCATTTCCACGGTGGGAGAGACGTAGAAATACGCAGAGAAAGAGGAAGACAGCTGAGAGGGAGGGCAAGGGAGGAGAGAAATCAGAGAAGGGCAGGGGGCTGGCATGGCAGCTGCCTGGGCCCCCCACAACACAGCCCCAGTAACCTGCTTCAGCGATTCCATTGCTGCGACGCTGGTCAGACCAGGATACAAAGGTGTCAGGGAGCAGTGGGAGCCTGAGGCTCTGGCATACACCTGCCGGAAGGTGGGCATCAGCGGGGCCTTGGCCAAGCATCACTCCCCACTCCCAGGCCACCTGCCCCAGCTCCAGCTGGCTGTGTGCCCCTGAGACAGAGAGGAGGGTGAGGGGGGCGGAAAGGGGGCAAGGAGGGGCTGAGAAAAATAGCAAGGGGGCAAAGTGGGAGAGGCGAGCGAGGCCACCTGAAGAAGATGGCGATGAGGTGGCAGTGAGGCCTGGGCCCGCAGGCCCTGTAACGGCCGGGGGGAAGTGCTCAGCGCCCTTAACCTTGTGCCCTGCACAACCAGGGGAGGATGTGTGTGGGGGGATGATGGAGGCGGGAGGCTTGAAGACACCTTTCCAAAAGTCTCAGGAACTTCTCTAGCTGAACTCTTGCCCCAGGAAGACCCCCCCACTCTGGGGAATGAATGAACCCCTGAGGGCTCGCAGCCTTACTATGAAGGAGCTTGGTTCAGTTACCCACCAACGTGGACATGTGACTCAGAGAGGTTGAGAAGCTGACCTGAAATCACACAGGTGAGCAGTGGCAGAGCAAGGAGTCAAACCAGGGCTCCGTTGTTCATTCTGAAAGGACACACGGGTGGTGGCAGGGCAGGTCCGAACACCAGGGACCCGTGTCTCCAATGAGCTCAGCAGGCTGGGCTGGGCTGTGCTTCCTAGACTTCCGCGCACCCGAGTTGCCCCAAGACCCTGTTAGAATGCAGATCCCATTTTAGGAAGCTGGGGAGGGGCCCTGGGAGGCCAGTGAGGCACATGCTGTTGGTGTGGGGACCACAGTTTGGAGCAGTGAGGGGCTAAGCCATACATACCAAGTTAGTCAGCGCAGAACACTGAAGTGCAAGAGGGTCCACTGAGAGTCCTCCAGGAGGCCAACAAGGGGTGGCAACAAAGAGGAGCTACTGTCCAGTCAGTAGTATTTGTTTTTAATAACTATTTATTTTAACTTGACCAGAGAGGGACAGAGTGTGTATGTGAGAGAAAGTGAGAAAGCAAACAGAGAGGAGAGAGAGAGCAAGCAGCCAGGTCCAGGACCCGAACTGCAGTTGTCCATGTGGGAACCCAGCGTCCTTAGCCACCGCGCCACCTGCCGCCCCCCCCCCCCGATTTGGGGATCTCGATGACCCCTGATACGGAGTGATCCTGAGGAAGTCTCATAACCTTTCTGAGCCTCTGCCTTCTCATCTGTGTAATGAGGAGTAATTACAGGGTTCCTCCCAGGAATGATGTCATAAACGAACTGCTGGCTTTACACAACAGAAATGTACTCTGTCAGTACTGAAGGCCAGACGTCCAAAATCAAGGTGTCGCCAGAGCCGCCACCTCCCCAAGGCTCCAGGGTGGGTCCGTCCTGCGCCTCTCTCCTGGCCGCTGGTGGAGGCTGGTGGACCTTGGTGTGCCCTGGCTTGTGGCTGCAGCACTCTGGTCTGTGCCTGGCGTCACATGACCTTCGGCCCTTCCCGCCTCTCACCCCTTGGTGCTGGTGCCTCCATACTTCGTGCACACCTCCCTGGCCGGCCCTGAGGGCAGGCGCAGACTCTCCAGCTCTTGAAGGGTAGAAGGGCCCCGTGGACAGAAATGAGCTGAACAGGCGAAGAGGAGGTGGGTCACCAACTGCACAAATGCCCCCAGCAGCCCTCTCGAACTGAGGCTGCGTTTCCTTCCTCGAGCGCCAACATGCCCAGGGACAGAGGGCAGGCACCAGCCCGTCTGTCAGTATCTGGGGCTGCTGGCCCCCGCCGGGGTGAGGAACACGCACTTGCTTCTGGCCAACGTCTTCCTGTCGGAACCGGGCTCGTGACTTCATGGTGTCGGCACAGAGGGTGTCCTGATGCCCATGCTCCAGACGCCCAGCCTGCCCCAGCCCACGCTCCGCTGCATTCTCTCAGGCTGCTCTGGGCATGGCTCTAGGACAGCTGGATTCAACCTGGAGTCTGCCCCAGCACCCCCTGGGGAGCTCACCAAAACAAACTGAGGGGCGGCACTCCCAGGGTTCCTGATTCAGCAGAACAAAGACGGGTCTAAGGAACTGTGATTCTCGGAAATTGCCAGTCAGATGAGGGGCTGTTATTCTCACCACAGTGGAAACACAGAATGGCAAGTTCAGAGAGGTAAAGCGAGTTGCCCAAAGTCACACAGCTGCTAAACACTGTGCTCAGCTGTTGTGATCTCACTTGGATTTTGGCACCAGCCCCGAGCTCGTCTTCCTGTTGGCCTACAATCCCCATCTTAGTGCCTGCCATCCTCCTTCAACTTCCTGGCCTCCCGGCTGGGTCTCCAAAATGCTAAGAAACTGAGGTCAACACAGCAACTCCAGGGCAGGTGGTGAGACGGGGCAGCTGCAGACAGGGACCAACCAAGGGCTCTGGAAACACAGGGAGAGGAACACTTCCACAAAAGACCAGATCAAAGAGGCTCTCATGAAGAGGGACTTCTGAGACCGACCCTGGAAGGTGGCTGGCATGGCGAGGTAGACTATATAGTGACGACCCCAAAGCAAGCCCGTCTCGCTGGGTCGAGCCCCCTCCCCTCCCACTAGCCCGCACAGTGTTGCTCCAGAGCCCCGGCTCATAATGCTCCCCTCTGCCTTCCCAAGAACAGAAGAGTGAGGGAGAAATCGAAGGAAGGAGGGCAGAGGAGAAGAGAGGCAGGGGAAGGGCTGGTCTCCAAGCAGAACAGCTCGGGGATGCTGCTGCAGGCACACGGAGGTCTCTGGGGCACGGTGACTTTGCAGACACCCTGGGAGCTGGTGCTGGTTTGCATGACGGCTGGAGGTTAAACGCAGCTTCGAAGTGAGAAGCCATTCTTCAATTTCTAATAAAAACCCTGAGGTAGGGATGGCATGCAGTAAATCAACCTTCCATGGGTCCCATCTCGGGGTAATCTTTCCAACGATCTGCTTGCACAGTGTGCGTCTCTGAGATGATCGAGAACGTGCAGCAGGGAGCCAGCCCTGTCCAGCTGACGGTCCCCACGCAACTCAAAGACCCGGCTGGCCAGAGTCACAAGGCAGCTGAGCAGTGAGGGCAGATGTGAGCCCTGTGGACAGGGCTGCAAGGACTGGAAAGGAGGTGGGGACCAGGTAACAGCCCCCTGGCCCAGGACCCTGGGCCAGCACATTTGCAGCATCCCAGAGCGCTGTCTCTGAGCACTAGGGACAGAGCAGGGGCAAGGCCAGGCCTCTGTTCACACAGCGCTGGCCTTCCAGATACAGACGGGCAGGACCTGAAGGGAGATGGGCTGAGCGACCGGGCTGGCCCATGACACGATGGCAGTGTGCAGCTCAGGGGAAGCCAGACCCACATGACGACTGCTGTTCCAATCCTGCCCAGTCAGCCTGGGACACACCAGCATGTGCATGCGTGCCAGGACCCAGCGGACTGGAGGAAGGACAGTGGCTCCGTCAGACCCTGTGGACGGTGCTCGTCCCTCTCTCCCTCTCTCTCATGTGAGTGTCAGGCACTTGTGAACAAAGAAATGAAAGAGAGAAACATGAAAGCAGGTGAGATGGAGAGAAATGGTTGAAGAAGGCCTTTCAGAGAGGCTGACTTATGAGCTGAGTGACTTGGAGGAACGACTCAGCCTCTCTGAGCCTACAGGAGCTGGTCTGCAAAGCGAAGGGAACACCGGCCACGACAGGGCTGGGCTTCTTGGCTCCGGTCGGATGTCATTTCTCCATCCTGGGCCTCGCGTCTCCTCTCTGAGGCAGCCTGCACATTCTCCTGTGTACCTGTGGAGGCTAGGTCATGTTCTATCACACTGGCGTGACCGAGTGGGGACTCCTGGGGCCTTGTGGGGCCCTCAGGCCTGACACAGAGCATGGCTCAGTGACGACACTCTGCCATGGTCTGCTGCCTTGGGTGGGTGAGTAGGTAAGCGGGGAATTGGAGGGGCGGACGTCATGGACGGAGGGTCGATGGATGGGTGAGTGGGTCAAGTGTTGGATGTGCTGGGGATGGATGACGACTGGATAAGTGGGTGACAAAACGGCAAGTAGACCACTGTATAGACGGTAGGGTGGAGTCGATGAATGCGTGGATCAGCAGGGTGGGGTGAGTGGGTGGGTGAACAAAGTGGCAGACGGCTGAGAGACGGCAGGACGGTGGATGGACGGGTGGATGAGCAGGAGCGTGGGTAGATGACGAGTGGATGGCTGGGTAGGCAGAGAGACGGAGGGTGGCCAGGCGGCTGGCTAGTTGTGTGAGGAGGTGGGTAGTGAGTGAAAGTTGAGATTTGAGAAAATAAGAACATCAGGATTAAAAGCACAGGAAAGGAGTGGTTTTACGGAGGGAAGGAATATTTCTTTTTCAAAGAAAAGGTAAACTTTTTCTGAGTAGAGGGAAAATTTAAGAAAATACCTTCATTCGTCCCTTCACATATTCATCTACTCGGTATGATGGGTCCTGGGGGTCTAAAGACACAGAGGTCGTGGCTGTGTACGGGAAGACTGAAATCTGTGCTGTGGTCAGCACTAGTGAACGGGAAGTTTAGGCGCCTGGGAGGGAGAAGGCAAACCCCTCTCCGCCTCCCGCCCACCCCACCCTGCTTGGCACAAATGAGGTTGCCACTAGCGCTCCTCACCGGCGCTCCTGCATTCTCAGCAGCCTCAGTGCTTGGCAGCAACGTGACTTGGCACCATCTCCTTGCCACCTTGGGGCAAGCCTGCCCAAACCTGAGCCTGGGCTCTGAGCTAAGGACCGCCTGGGGTTTCTTGGGGACTGCCGTCTGGCGGATGCCTGCAGTGGTTAGAGTCGGGGGATCTTTTCTAGCTATCCCGCTTAGGCCACACGGGGATGGAATTATTCCACACAGCTTGCGGCTACAGAATAGGAAGTTCGGAAAGGTGAGTCATTTTATCCAAGGTCACCCAATTGTAGAGCTGAGGGGCCAGATTTTGTGCCCAGGACAGGGGGCCCTGAACCCCAAGTTCTCACCAGGCTGTCTGCTGCTGCATGGATGTCCTGTCTCTGTTACTAGGGTAACCTCCCTCCCAGCCTGGGAGTCACCCCTCCTGGAGCGTGATTCTTGCACCTGACATCATAATCTTCTGTGACATCTTAATCAGCTCCCAGGCAACTGACAGTGCTGGAGCAGCGGTATTAACGCCCAGTGAGTCAGCCTGGCCTAGCTGGGCCCACTGCCCCGCCTCCACCTTAACCCTTGCCTGCCGGGCCCATCTCCTGGCAATGGAGGCTGGTGACGGTGGTTGATTTCGGGGTCAGACAAACACGATCGCAGATCTAGGCTTTGCTACAGTTTTTTTTGGTTTGGTTCGGTTTTTGTTATTAATTGCCAGAGAGGCAGAGAGAGAGAAGGGGAGAAAGAAAGCACCCCACAATGGCACATGGACATGCCACCATCCCTTCTCCTCCCTTTCATCCTGTTGGGATTCTGGGCCAGCACATGCATGTGCCCAGCGTGTCTTGCAAGCTGTTGAGGCTGGGGGCTCAAACCACAGTCAGCCACATGAGACTTGGCTCCCTAAACACGAGACAACAGGCTGGCCTCTACTGAGGCTTTCCAAATGTCAACGTCCTCAACTGCCAAGCAAGGACGACGATGCCAGTTCAGCGGATGCACAAAGCGGACAAAGGCTTTGGACAAGGAGGCCGGCGTGCTGCATCATCTAAAACAGGGGTCCTACCGCCCCAGCCACACACCAAAGCCAATCTGTGGCTTGCCGGGACCCCAGGCCTGGGACTAGTGTGGGTCTGGGGCCTGTTGGCCACCCACCCATTCTCAGACTGCACAACCCTCTCAGGGTTGGGTGGCCGGCAAGGGAGTGAGGCTTTGTCTGTTTGCAGTCACCCATCATGGCTGCCATTGCTGCCTGGGCTCCGTCTCCTGTCGGATCAGCTGCGATACCGGACCCTCACGGGAGTGTGACCTCTGCTGTCCTGGGACTGTCTAACCGCATTTCCATGTGGCAGTGGTGGAGATAGGGTGCACGGGGGAATGCGGTGTGTCTGGATCATCCTGGGACCCACCCCCCTCACATCCTGCAGGGACTGTCTTCTCTGAGACCCGGTCTGTGGTACTGGGAAGGTCGGGTCCGCCGAAAGGAACCGTGGGCCTGGGTGTTATTGGGACTGTCCCTTCTGAGCCGGCTGCTCTTGGAGCCTGGTGCTCAGCAGCACACAGCACCCTGCACGAGCAAGAGGAGACACACACATCCCGTTATGGGCTGAATTTGTGTCTCCGAAAAAGATGCCATAGTCCTAGCCTTTCCCCGACAGTAAATGTGAGCTTTAATTGGAAATGAGGGTCTGCAGAAGTAATCAACTGAAAATAACGAAGCGGGATGGGCTGTGGGGGACTGCCAGGCTCCCCAAAGTCCGCAGAGGCAAGGAAGGATCGACCCGGAGGGTCACACTTGGCCCTGCCAACACTTGGATTTCAGACTTCCAGCTTCCAAACAAACAAAAATCCTGTTGCGGGACTTTGCTCCAGGAGCCCTGAGAAACTAATACACTTTCTGTGGGGCAACTTTAATTCAAAGTCCTGTGTGGCGGTTCTAAAGAGCCCCGGCCCCAGAATCACATAGTACAGTGCGGACCCCACTTTGATGAACGACCCTCAACGGCTCACTTACTCTAGTCTTTCAGAAATATGGGGCCACCTCGCAGGCTGGGTGTGAGGACTGAGTGGCATGGAGTCTGCAGTGTCCGGCGGGCGGTGGGGTTATTGTCTTCACGGTGTCACTATCAGCATTGATTTTTTTACTCTCCTTGGGAAGTCCTGAGCCTCCCATTTCAGGTGCTGGAGTTCAATAGGAGGTGACCCAGTTCCTCACGGCTCTGCTTTAAAGCCCCCAGCCCAGGAGCTTTGCATATGCATGGCAAACCTGGGTGGAGCCGGAGCGGCCTCTTTGAAGGGCCCTCATTTCCTCTTCCAGCTCCTCACTCTTCCTCTCTCTCTGGCCTTTCATCTGGGCTCCCTCCCTAGCTGGCTTGGAATTCTGGAGCAGTTCAGCCCCAGATGCCCAGCTGGGCAGAGGGACCTGTGGGCCCCACCTTTGATGTCCAGGCACACGTGGGGAGAGGGCAATTCTGGGGTTTTTTCCTGCCCACGCAAAACATTTGTTTCCTTTCATTTTGGTTTCACAAACCTCTCCGGCCTTCCTCTTCCAAGATGCTTTTGTAAGGCTAAAACCTCTGTCCTCCAGTAGCTGAATGACCTTGGGCAAGTCAGTCTTCATTTTCCACACTTTCAGATGGAGCCCAGAGTGTAAACCCCTGTGGCTGGGAGGACTAAACAAGACAGCATCTGCGTGCAGTAGGCCTTTGGCAAGTTTCATGGTGGCGATTATTCTACCACTAATCTTCTCCATGTGCCTCATACCAGAAGCAAACCCTTGCCACAAACCACAGCCTCCTCGAGTCTCTGTGTCTCATCTGTGAAATGGGTTGATAGTGCCTGGGCATAAGAGTAGGTGGGCACATTTAGTATTTGAGACCCGGACCTGGCGGCTTGCTTTCTCACTCTCCCTTTCTCTTTGGTCAAATTAATAATAATAATAATAATAAATAATTATTTTTTAAAAAGAAAGAAATACATGGGACTTTTATATTAGCAGATGCTGGGCTCATTCCCCTGAGCCTACCTTTCTTGGTTGGGGTGGGCACACGTGGGGGTAGGATTCTTTTTATTTATTAATTA